CACACACACACACACACACACACACACACACACACACACACACACACACACTAGTTTAATTTTTAAATACGTAATGTTCCCGTCCAATACATCTAATTTATTTGCCTCCTGTTTATGACTCTAGATAAACAGTAAGAGTTTTTATTGTCATTTCCTATCTAATAACTTTATTTTGTTTACTGACTGTATTATTGCCGAGAGGGGGAGCTAATCGTGTTATTCTGTGTGTGAACAACTTTATTTAAATATACAAGGCACGACACTTTATATTGATAGCTTTTTTACCGTTTGTTATGATGATGATATGATTTTACTATGATGTTTTTTATTCATTCAAAACTGACAAACCTATGAAGTCCAGAAAATTTTAATAAAATGGTACAATTAATTTTAATACATTGTTTTTTTTTATTAAAAATTTTTAATAAAAAAAACAATGTATTAAAAATTGTTATCGAATATTGTTTTACTTTTAAGCTTGACAGTGACTGGCCTATTCGTACTTACCTAAATTAAAGAGAACAAACGATTCCTCTTTTTTCTTGAAACGAAAAGAATAAGTTTGCCTTTCTAAAACTTGGAAAACAAATGCTTAAATTTTTTTATTTATTTAATTTTAACCTGCGGCATTTATGAATTTTAAAAGAATTATTTTTTTATTTTTTTTTATTGAGAGTTCAATCAATAGGTGAATGTGCTAAGTCTTCGTAATCGTGCCAAAAATAATATTGTAAAATAATAAACAACAACTTAGTGCATTTTTGCTTCCATTCATTCATTTTTTTTTGCAATGAGTAAACGTATAAACAGATTTCAAAATCAATAATGTTGGAAATTCACTGCAATATTGTACACACTTACAATGTAACATAAAATTTTGTTCAATATAATAGTTACCAAACCACGAGGCCTGTTTCTTGGTGAGGGAGATCCCCTCCTTGGCGTCCAAGACGTCTGGCAGCACCATGGTGACGAAGCTGATAGACAAGCCAAGCCCCACCAGCAGAATGTCCAGGGCCAAACATGCTAGCACCTGATAAAAGTCAATCATATATAAGTAGTCACTCGACTCAGCGATCACGAACGTCCACGTCTTCCACTCTTTCACATAGTAGGGCATTTGTGAAAATTGCAATGTGAAAATAAAATTGATAAATTAGTTAAAACAATAAAATAGCTGTTGTGTTGTTAACATAACGGTCTTAAAGACGTAATACACGATATATTTTACACCGATGCTTTTTTACTGGTGATAGAGATATCATAAAACGAATTTCAAATTCATGCTATCAGTTGATAGGAGCAATAAACAATTTTATTTAATTATCCTATTGTTCATTATCAGTAAACAGTAATTACCGTCTTTAGCATTATAATAATTAGGTCAAGCTGCACCGATCCTAGACATGAATTGGAAGATTTTTTTTTACAAAGATTGAGTATTTAGAGGGCGTAAAGCATTGGTTTTAATGACAAGAATTACGATATTTAGGGTTGTAAAATAATATTGTACAATTGGACCTAGGAAGTGATCTTAATATTAAGATATCTCCCTGTTGAATCAAAATAAACAAAATTTATTGGTCACATAAACTCAGCTTCTCTCTGCTCTTATTGGGTACACAAAGTGCCTTAGTTAAAAAATATATATACAAAAGTTACTTTTGGACCAGAGAATAACAAGCATAATTTAGTAATTGATAAACTGATTCAATGAACTTGCATTTAAATGTTTCGCAATGAGGACGCGTTTTGTTGACACTCGACGTTTGCCGGACTACATTTTCCCCCAACTCCGTGAAGTTGAAAAAAAAAGTATTTTTTGCACCGAACTTATTTCAATAATTTTGAAATGTTCGTATTTAAATAAATTTCGTATTTTAGAGACTATTTTGCTTATTTATTTTAATAATATGTAAAAACCGGCAATCAAGGTGTGGTAAATATTATCGTTTTGCGTAGATACGCTTATTCTGTGGCGTATTTTTGACTGATGGACTCGTGAGAATATGAATTTTATCTTTGTTAAATCTTTTTGGTAAAATATGGCTGCTTCCTTACTATCATACCCGCACCCTTGAAATACTCTGGCGGCGTGCGGGAAACACGAATTTACAACGAAATGTGTACGGAATTATGAACGAAAGTCTGTTCTTAAGTAATACGTATTTCAGAATTATGAACGAAATTCCGTTTGACATTTTATACTTATTCTCTAGTCTGTCTTTTTTGAAGATGGAGTGAAATGACAGTTCATTTCACAAAAGTATTGCCCGCCAGCAAGCAGCTAGTGATTGCAGTCGATAAATATTGCATCGACTATCAACTGAACGTTGTTTACGCTTATGAAATAAATAGCCGAACTTATTATATTTGAATCATCATCGACCCATTATTTGTCCAACTGCTGGGCACAGATTCATTTTAATTGTTAATTTTTGCAAATTCACACATAGGAGACATATTTCAAAGCGTTTCATTTTAATTTAATATATGTAATCAAATCCGCCTGTCGTTAATAAAATGTGTATGACTAAATAGAGACGAAATGTCGTTTAATTTGTTTCAAAACTATTCCGCCATATCATTACTGTGACAACTGCGCTCCGATTGGCTAGCCCGAGTTCGAAATAATTGACGGGTGTCGTCAATGGGTGTCGTCAACTGTTTCACTTCAAATCGACCAGTTAACTTGAGCTTCGCTATAATGGACGAAAATTGCAAAATTACATATTTAATATTTAATTACCGATGAAATGTGATTCCGTTTGTTTTGTAATTAGATGTTTTGCAGTTTTTCCCACACCACCTAAATAACAGCAAGGCATTGTTAGAGATATTATCTTTATTACAATAAATACAGAATATTTTTTGGAATATACGGAGACGTACGCACAGGTCAGTAGTTGGCCTGTCTATATTTCAGTGCAAACGGGAGTTGATATTTATAAGAGCTGTATCGCTAATGTGTTACCAGGAATATATGGCCTTTATTTCGTCTCTATTTCTGGTTATATACTCGATGATGACTAAAAATTGATTTCCATACTAATATACCAACAGTCCAAATAACAATAACGAATGTTACCTATAACGCAATTAGCAATCATTAGAACGTCGTCGTAACATTCATAATTCAAACGTTTTTGAGCGCAACATACGCAACCGTTTTCTTGCATGAATATAATAAAAGTAAAGTAAGAAACCAACTAACAAATGAAAATCTATATATGTGTTTAAAACTTAAAACAATTAGTTATGAGCCAAATGTATCCAATCTTTCAAAAGGCATGCAAAGCCAATCCTCTCATTGATTTACTACTAAATTCTGTAGTTATATTATTTAATTATTTTAATTTCCTTGTTAAATACTTTAATTTGTTGCGAAATAAATACTATGTATGAATAATAATAATAATATCATAATAATAATAACGCACACTCTCAACATAGCCCCGCACTAGGGAAACCCTGAGTCGCGGGTGCCATGGACACACACATAGACAACCACAAAATCACACCCAAACTCACGAGAGAAATAAATGTAGGCCACACAAATTTTTTTCCTGGGAAAAGGCCCGGGAATCGAACCTGGGACCGCTGCGTGGCAGTCGTGGCATGGTAACCGTTCTTATTTATTTCTTATTTTCAAGTTTTTTATTTTAAATCAAAATCAAGCAAGTTTATAGTGCTTATATAAAGGCAAGAAACATTTTAGTTTAGATATTGGCAAGAAACATTTTAGTGGCTCTTTAAAAACTATGAAATTTTGTAAATTGTAATTTTTGGCTTTTCCAACCCAAAAGGTTGCTGACCTGTGCGCTAGCGTAATATTGGTCAAAGTTCATAAGGGGTAATAAATTAAAGCAACGGCCGAAATTCGATCGGAGGTCAGATTCATAGAATGTGTTCCATTGCGATCACCGGTCTTGTCAACGTATTTTAGGTACATTCATTGGTCTAGACAATAGTGTCTAATAGATTGTAGTGCAAAAGAGAGACAGATGCTTTTATAGATTTAGTATATGTATATGGATGCTTGATAGGTTCCGAATACAAATAAGTGAAATGCGAACGATTTGTAAGCTCAAGTTTCTCTTTAGAGAAACTTGAGTTAAAAATTTACTTAATTGAAACGAAATCCGTTGTAGGCAAAGTTTATGAAGACTAATATTTCAGAGGTTCTAGATTTAGTAATATAAAATAAAACTAGAGACAAACAGAGACATAAGTTGAAAAATCCCAAGTGCCTGTAATTTCACCAGCATTACTGCTTGTCGGCAGAAATAGGTAAGGTGTCAGTACTTCCCTGGACGAACTATTTCACAAGGATCTCTACTGCTACTAAAAATTACACCCAAACACACGAGAGAAATAAATATAGGTGATACAAATATTTCTACCGGCCCGGGATCAAATCCGGGACCTCTGCGTGGCAATCCAGCGTGGTAACTGTTCGGTCACGTAGGCAGTTCAGTCCAGGCAGTATTAGAAGCACAAAAAGTCTGACGTAACAATTTAAAGGTGAATCAAGTTTTAAATAATGAAGACAAAAAAGTAGGTTTAGTGCTTGATTTCCTTATATTTATAATGCATAAAAGTCAATCTATTAATCTTAACTGTTAGTTACAAAAATACATTTTTTGCCAAAATATTTTTTCTCTAATTTCAGTGTTACTAAACTACACCCTCAAATCTATAGCACAGTCTGTGTCGACTTGGGTAACTATACATATAATTTTAGACTAAGGGAGACCGTTCCCTTGAAATTTGACATCACTGGATTAATAGAGCTGCAGATCAACGCTCAACGATCTTTTCGAATATCGTCCTGTTGCTTTTGTACTATAATTTTTGAAAATTCACGCATACAAATATTAACGAACGAACTTAGGTACAAATATTGTTTGTTCAGTTTGTATGTAAAATTATTTTACTAGAATAATAAACAAACACATAATATATTAATCATAATAATGATTACTCAGTGTAAGGCCCTATTATCCTACAAGAGCTGAATGGTGAGTTGGCTAGGCGGAGATGTCAAATTTAATAATATTGCTGATTGTTGAAAATAATGGCGCGTTTACACTAGGTAGATAAAATCGCCTTTACTTTGCTTTCGTAGGCAAAGTAAGTAAGTAAGTAAGTAAGTAGTACTTTGCCTTTGGTCGTAGGCAATCTACCCAGTGTAAACACAGTCGTTTGACGACCGTAATTGCCGAAAGTCGACAAAGTCGATTAGGTGATATCACTCATAGGGCGCGTTCTCATTATGTCGTAACGTTCTATTTATTGTTGGACGACTGTCGCGTCTAGCCATATCGCGACTATCTGTCATGACTGTGTCGTGGACGTTTATTTTATCATTGAACGACTGCCGTGTCTAACTCTTCCTACTAGATCGTGAGGACAATTTATCGGTTCATGGCAACGGCTTTGTCGTTTGGACGACAGAATCATTTGAAGCAACGATTATCTGTCGTCACATTTTTATCGTGACGTTTTATTTATCGTTGGACGACTGTCATTCTAGCTCTTCCCATTATCACGACAGTCTGTCGTTGTAACGTCAAAAAAGTTGTGAACGATAGATATTCGTGTTGTTCTATACGTGAACAACTACATTCCAATATACAAGACACGATACTTTAAATTGTGCCATCTGTCGTCACTACTTAATGGGAACGCGCCCTCGGGCGACTGAGTCGCCTGTGGCAATTAAGTTTTAACCCGATCGGTTCGTTAAATATTTCAATCGATTTGCTGTGTATCTATGTGTAAACTTGTATTTATTAATTATAACTCGGTCGGTCATTTCGGCGAATGACAGTGCACGATTGCGTCTCCTTCGGCGAGGCATAGTAGTATGTCGAAAATCCGGTGTAAACATGGCATAAGTTTTGTTCAGATGTTAGATGAACGGCTAATACTCGTCTATTTTGCCTGTACAATCGTGACTCCACGAATGAATTAGCAAAGACTCTCCATGTGTTCCAGATTGCAGCTTTTCTAAGAACACCAGCATGTCATATGCTTCACTTAGGACCTTCTAGAAACATACTTACGTTATGGATGTACAAGCCACTAACATGTTACCAACAATAGCGCCCATATTAAACAAGTGACATTGTGGTTAAATTCTTACCAATTATAAGTTATTTAAAATACCGGGTAACATGGCAAATGATCATAATGTAAATAAATTGCGTAGATTGACAATTATCAACCAATAGCGTATGAATTGAAGCAATTTGATAAATTGACTTTGATTGATTTGTAATACAAAGTCCCTTCATCAGCATTCTGACCAAATTTTTCACTGGCGACCATTGTTGTTCTCAAGATTTGTCAACGATTTGTCACATACAAATTGTAAGTTCTTTAGAATAGAAAATATATATACAGCATGCATTGCATATAGCATGCGCTTATTTTCAGCTCTTTCTTTTTAAAATATAAAACAATATGTAATAAAATAGGGCTCTTTAATTAGAATGTCAAAGGTGCCGAAGTTTGCTATGGTCGTCAATTACCGAGAAACAGTTTCATAATCAATTTAAAAAAATCAACGGACAACGATAATCATAAAGAGCCAAGGAAACAAAAAAAAAACAATGATGAAATGTAAGAAGTGGTAGCATCAGCTTCTTACGCCCTGCTTACGACGGGGTGTTGTTTTTAGACCTTGAAATTATTGCGCTAGTATATACATTGGCCAAAACATATATAAGTTCTTTACATTGTGAATGTAGTATTTCCTTAAATTTTCTGAATTATGGCTACAATGCAGATTATGTTAGCCGTTCTATTATTTTATATTGATAAACGATAAAGTGTACTGAACTGATTCTTCAAAAAATAATGTGGGCGTTGTTATTCACGACGATCGCACGAACGAACGAATATAATTAATTACCTTCCTCTAGTTTATACGAAAACTGCCGAGTGTTACTATTTGTGTCACCGGTTGTTATGCTACACAAAACAAAGGTGCTATTCTAAATTACCGTGCAAACTGAAAATGTAGTATGTAAAATAATATCTGCCACGAGACCAACAATATTCGTCCTGTGTATTTATTTCTAAGTAGCGCGGAATTAATAAATTGTACAGTTCAGAATAGAGTAAATCACCCGAGCAGTATGTCTTGTTTTAGCACAAATACAAAATATCATGAAAAGGGACGAAGATATATGTACATTTTAGGGTCAGAATTCATAGTCAGTTCAAGCCAAGACCCATCGTACCATTGTAATGATCAAGAGCAGTAAGTACATCTTCTCTTTCATATCACTCTTGACGGCTGATGTGGCTTGCCTCACGACATCACACCATCTGTCTCTATTAGTGGACTCCTTCGTGCACTCATGTAAACGACCGCCCACTGCAGATTTTATTTGATCGGTCCACCGAATGGGTGACCTTCCGCGCAGTTTAGTGCCCTCCACTCTGCCCTGTACAACAAGACGCTCTGTGGAGTCAAAATTCCGTCTTGCGACGTGACCGAAGAATTTCAAGATGCGAGTTTGTACCACAGTAGACAGACGCTGCTTGATGCCGAATTCTTGGAGTATGGAGGCGTTTGAACGAAACTCTGTCCACGATACCCCAAGCATTCTTCTCCAGCACCACATTTCCAGAGCGTCTATATTCTTTTTCTCGATTTCACGGAGCGCTCATGTCTCTGCAGCGTACAGAAATATGGGAAAACTAGTGTTCGGACCGGCCGGATTTTAGTGGCATTAGTAATGTTTTTATTCCTCCGTATTTTCTTCAGTTTATCCATTGCTATTTTAGATACTGACATACATCTTTTCATTTCATCTACGCATCCTCCAGTGTTCGAAATTAAAGCTCCAATATATACGTAGGACTAGATCACAGTAAATACATAAAAGTGTAAAAATATCTCATTTGGACAGCCTTGAGGTTTGTAAGCAGAAGAGGAAAAAGCTTCACAACGCCTGTTTATTTCGAAACTTAAAAAGCAAAGTATCCCGGGCAGCTTTCTACAGAGCACGGAAACACTGTAATACGTAGTAAGTGCTCTGCCGTGGCGAACTACAGGGCGAATTACATCGTAGTGTCGAGGTGGATCCCCAAAGTCTCAGCAAACCCAAGAGGATGCTAATATTCTTGGAGAAGGACGAATGGGAGAAGGACCCTGCACCCATTGGTCGGGCAATTAAAGATTACAATATAATGTTTGAAGATTGTCATATAATAATTTCTAGATAATTCTGTTTTTTATATCTACTCAAAAGTCAACAATAAGGGAGATTATTGTACGTGGTTTACGAATTTACCCGACGCATACCACATTTTAAATTTGTGCGGCACTGACTTGTGTCTGACACACTGAGCCTTATTTTTCATGTTTATGTTATCGTATTTACCCGTTACGTGACAGGTCAGACCAAGTAATTTATGACCACGTTTTGTAGTAACGATTTACGATTATGCTTAAATTAGACGTCACAGAGGCCAAAATAGACCGCCAAGGCAGCTGCTAGGTACTTCAAGTCAGTTACTTCGTTGAGAAATAAATTTGTGTTGTTAAATAAGTCATTACGAAATTCATTTAGATACCGTAAATCAATGAGGAGTCTGTCGTCGTAGCCCTAAAAGTTTCCACATGTTCGTAATATTTTTTTTAATCTTTTTCGAGGTTACCGTCAATTTTCAAGTCCGACGAGTTTTTGTACCTGGTTTGTAACAACTGTTTTTGTAGCGATCTACTACATTTCGGCTACATTAAAAAAATGTAAATGTTTTAAGTACGTTCAATTCAATATATTAGTATTATAAATAGTTGGAAAGATAATAAAAACAAAACAGTTTTGTATTTTGAGTAGCACTACTCAAGGACTTGATTAAAAGAAACAAATTAAATTGTAATTTTGATTATTTTACTTATAATAATGTTGTATGGTACAGTCCAGACCCCATCAAGCTTGACAGTTTGAACTTTGGACCGTTCTTATAGAAAGCGGCATAGAGTAGGATTAAAATCTTAAGTGTCAAGCTTGACGTGCTCTAGACCCTGTACCAATACAAAAATAGCGCAATAGCCTTTCGAATTTTTTCATTAATTTATGTAAGTAAGTGTTTCAATAAGATTTAGTAGCAGTAGAGCTCCTTGTGAAAGAGTTAGCCCAGGGAAGTACTGCCACTTCACCATCTGACCCCGTGTGAGCATTACTTCGTTCCGGCTTGGAACGGTATTTACTACTTCTATGTTACCACCAGACACACGACTTGTGGATAACATAAAAAAAAATCAAAATGTTTGATAACAACCTCTTCTAAGCAGAACAGCTCCTTGTGAAAGAGATCGTCCAGGGAAGTACTGCCACCTTACGTATTTCAGCCGCCAAGCAGTAATGTTAGCATTACTGCTTGGCGGTTAGTGTCCCGTTTTGGAAGGGTAAGGGTGCGTGAAATTACAGGCACTTGGGACTTGTCGACTTATGTCTTAGGGTGACGGGCGCAGTGACAGTGCCTCTAAGATCTTTGCGATTTAAAGCTCTGAGAGGAGTTGCAACTGTTATGTATAGGCGAGTCGGACTTGTACGTCTCGCCACATGCGAGTTATAAAAAAAATACTTCTCGGCCGGTATGTCGCTCTCGCGCTAGGCGCGCCCTATCGTGCTAGTCCTACTGAGTTGTGTTTCTTTTGATGAGGTAATTTTGCATAAATTAGCAGATTATACACCAAAGCGGAGAGAAGTATTAGTGTTCAAACAACCAATAAGATTTCAAAAGTTCTCACCGCAACACAGCCGTTTAAAATCCAACACAAAAATCCGCAACAAGCACATTAAGAAATTAATAAAATTTGCAGGCTCGATACGTAGCTCGGTTGGTAAGAGCGGTAGCCACGTTGAGGCGACAGACGCTGGTTTAAGTCCAGTCGGATTGAAGGAATTTTTCTTAGTGTTTGATCGATCTTTGTGTCAATAGTAATAACAAACTAGTGGAGTATTATCACAAGTAATTATAACTTTTTTTATTACAAAAACCGATCTCATAAGTTAGGTACTTATTAGCTTTTTTATTTTAATTACATCTATTTGCTAAGGTTTATTGAAATCGATTGACGGAAAGTGCGTGAAACCGCAAACTGCAAAACGCGAGTTAAATTTAAATGGGACGAATACTGAGGGGCTCTTTCCAACAAACAAAAAAAATCACCAAAACGGTTCACAAACGCCGGAGTAATCGCGTATCTCCCTACCCTCCTTTTTTGTAGTCGGTTTAAAAAATAAATTAATGTCATGGTGGTTAAAACATTAATAAAATAAATATACCCAATAAGATTTACGTTATTTTCACAAAATTTAGAAGATATGTCAAAATACCGAATACTACTAGTTGTTTTAAAAATATTTTTATTCCTCTCCGCTTTTATAGGATATGAGGGGGTTTGCTTACCATTTCACGTAGCTATTCTGCCTGAAATTTAAATATAGGAACATATTATTAACAACTTACTTGAGATAAAACAACTCTTGCCCGAGACACTCCTGTTTGTTCACTTGTTTCACTCATTTTTACACAATTTCTGGTAAAGATTAATTTTTGTAAATTGTTTAAAGATAACAAGCGAAATTTGCACAAGAGAAGAGATTTTCCTCATGTACTGTGGAAATATTTATTGAGTAAGTGATAGGATTGTTAAACAATTAAACTATTATTATATGTTTTATAATAGCTATAATAAAATAATAAAACTGAGTTCAGCCATTTGTTGCTGTTGGTAAAACCCAACTCTACTATTACATTTTATAGGGTACCTATTATAACTGGCATGGAGTTTGATTTAAATCTTATTATTATTTTATCTTAAATCTGAGCTGCATTTCACTGCACTGTCTGGTTGGGCTTTCGACAGCAGGATGTAATCGTTAGTCTATTCCAGAGGTTCCCAAATGTTTTCTGTTTTACGTAGACCCCTTGCCTTTATACAGTGGTATTACGTATGTACGATGTACATACTACACGGGTACTATCTTTGTAATGGAGATTTTACTTCGCTGACGTAGACCCCTTGCACGTTGGGGCAATTGGAAGTCATCGGTCTATTCTACACATTATTATCTACCTTTTTATTTTGATTTTGTTTTTAACTTTACGTGATATTAGTATTAACTTGTTACTGTAACGTACAGCTATTTATATAGACTTGTAAATATAATTTTACTAAATATATATTCTCTACCCAACCCTAACACTTATTTATAATGGAGATACAGCAATATTTTATAAGTAACAAAATAAATTAATTTAATTAAACTAGGCGTCTATTTTAATTCAAAGTGTTTTTTTTATTTTCCGTGTTGTCAAAATGTGTAGAAAATATTATATTATCTTAAAATAATGACATAAAGATTGGTTTTTAAGTTTAAGTATACGAGTTTTTGAAACCAGTTTTATTTTGGAATGATAAAGGAAATTGACGCACCACAACCTTATTTATATATTACATTCTACACTGTTTTTAAAAAGGCCATTATCATTAAGTTTTATTTAGTTTATATCCAAAATAGAATCAAATTTGTTTAATATTAAGGATGTTCTCATCTGAAGATTACACTATATACTATTAGGTGTAAATTGTCACTAAATTAAAAACCGCCCTACTGTGATCATCATCTTCAGCTTACACGCACCCACAGCTGGACATGAGTCCCACGATACCTACCGAGATATTACTCCCTTATTACATACTCTTTTTGCGGCAGACGGCGTCTAAACAAATTATTATAGTTATTTTAAACATTGTTTTATACGATTTAGATAATACAACTTTTGATGACTTATCGTTCATAAGGTAACTGGACACCTTTTGCTAACAACACTAAATTGGAGAGCTGAAATGGAAACGTTTTATATATTTTCATATCCGTTAGTGTTACTGTTTTGGTAGTAAAGCAGTTGCGATACTGTTAAGTAGGCTAAAAGTGTTGCAAATACTTTTTAATACATAATAGAAACTTGGAATTATAAGGGTTGCGATGGGCAGGTTACTCACCGAGGTAGAACGTTTGAGATAATGACGTCATATGAGTTCAAGAAGCCTTATGATGCGGGCGGCTCGGTATAGTGATACATTATAAAGTTCACATTTAAAATTTTGCCACCTATTAATGATAAAATTTCAATTTATTTGCAAAAAGCAAATATCGTTTTAGGGAATAATGGAATCAATAATAGAATAGCTCATAGTCCATCACCACACTACGTTATGAAAGAGTTTTTTAACCTTCTTTTAAATGTAAATTTCATTACAATATACAACAAATTACAATTCTATTTACACAATAAACACAATCGAAAAGACTTAGTCCCCCGGAGGCAATAAAACTCAGGACTTATAATATTGGAAGCGAGGGCAACTGCTCCGGGTGATACAACGGTGAATTAATTCTATAATATTAGAAGCGAGGGCAACTGCTCCTGGTGATACAATGGTGAATTAATTATCTTAGTTTAAAACAATGCTTTCTTTAATAACTTGATTAGAAAAATTAAAATGACCTTATTACAAAAGAAAAGTTTAAAAAAATGGATGATTATAAATTGTTTCTCATGAATGTCCTCAATAGACACGAACGAGGAAGTCTGCTGCTAACACAATGCTAATAATGCTACATTGGACTGTGGGCTGTCATTTTTAGGACAATTCTATTAGAACTACCTTTACCAACGTAATTTGATACTCAGCAGTTTAATTCAATGCATGAAGATACTAATATTCTTAGCTTGCCAGTTTCCCATCCAAATATATACTTTCTAAAATAACACAGACTCAAAAGTCAATTTTCGCATAAGGGCTCGTTTTTGCGATGGAACATTTTATTGGAAAAATAATAAATTCCATTGAGAGTTGTCTCTACACATATACCACATAAATTGAAATGGTAATATTACAGGCATATGGGACTTTTCAACTTATGTCTCAGGATGGTGAGCGCAGAGGCAACCATTACCATCCATACCATTACCAGTCCATACCTTTACCATCTGGCGCGCGACTTGTTCGTCCCGTCACTTAATACCATAAAAAAAAATTAATAATACATCAATTACTAAAGTTACCATACTATTGACACAGAATCGCATACGCGAAACTTTCTTTTCTGACGATTAATTCCGCGTTAGTAAGTGTGGTCACTGTCTATTGTGTAACACGGACGCGATGTCTACTCTCCCAAAAGGAGACCTTTGTGAGTTAGTTCTTCTGAATAAATATGATTATAGGACATAGCCTAGTCAAAGTCAACGTCAAATAATCTTTATTTCATAGGTAGTAATTTACAATTGATAGGTACTACTGCTCATTCGTCAGGCAGATAAGAAGTAGTGAGTAAGAAACTCTAGGGTTGTTCTTTGTAAATAAACATTTGTACACTAACATCATAGACCGAGACAACGTGCAAGATCTAAGTGGGTCACTATTACGGATTTTTGTCATCCAAGTACGCAGAAGCTGTATAATAACTTTTAGTATAAAGTTTTGTTTCAGTAGTTTGGCATTATGAATTTATCAGTTATAAATATAACATTATAAGAGATGCTTATTTTCACGAGTAACAAATTTATACATGTACCCGGGTACATGAGATAGGATTATCGTAATTTCTTGAGTTTATTAGTATGTAATTACATCCTCCGTTATCTGTTGCGTAAATACGTTAACTAAAACAAAAGTTCTATTTTGTGACTTTGTCTCGTAGAGTGTGTCCGTGCTGTGTTAAATTTTGGTAATGTCCTTTAAAACACTTTTCTACATATTGCATGTAATGCTAGAATGAGTTAAGGATAGCCTTACGTATATCCAGGACTTTAGGCACTCTAAATAAATTGTAATTTTCTTCTTGTACATGAATAGAATGATAAATCATCTAATCTTACCGAGATTGTTGAAAAAAGCCTATCAGATTTTTAATTGCATGCAACGTATTTATATTAAAAAAATACAGTTAACAACAAACATTCCTAGAACTAAGTCAAGAATAAATAATTATTATTTGTAACACTGTCAATTATTTTTATTATAACTATAGATAAAAATTCTTTTGATTTAGTTTGAATATTATACGCGGGTGTTTATATGGCTAGATGAGCCATCGACAGTCTACTGTCGCCGGCGACTAGACGCGACTGAAGTATGACCCCACGATATCGTTATAGAGCTTCGAACTACAGCTACTTAATATCACTCGAAACTTCGGTGAAAAGTTCACATTTAAATACTCGCAGCGAACGTATTCGTTATGAGAGTTCTTATACTGCTTATCTTCTGGAAGTAACAGTGAATTCTTTCTTTGGAGGATAATCCTTCTCTAACGGTTGGAATATTTGAATTATTATTCGGTTTTAGTGTGACTGATAATACCAGTCACATAAAACTCTTGAACTACTATTTTATAGTAGTAACTATAATATAGAAGTTCAAGAGTTTCCACGACTTGTATGGAGCACTGCCAACACGGCCTGTGGACTTAATCATGACAGAGTATCATGTGGTATGTAGACAAGAAGCTGAAGACGACTGTGATAAGACGTTAAAGAGATTTTTACTTATTTCTGCCGCTAATGCAGGCACATGGGATTTGTCAACTTATGTCTCAGGGTTACGAGCACAGTGGCAGTGCCCCTCAGATCTTTGCGATTTAAAGCTTTGAGTGGCACTGCAACTGTTAGGGACAGGCGTGTCGCTTACCACCACGCTCACGACTTGCTCGTCCCGACACTTGGTATCATAAAAAATATGAACACATAATCAATTATCACTCTCAATGTCATAAAATGGATAGCGAAGACTTTCAGCATTACTCACCGTGCTTCGTAACTTTTTACCTATCAGACATTTTTAATGAAATATAATTTGAGTAATTATTTATATTATACAGTCGCGTCATGGCATTGCGTTGTCAATGGTATTCGCTTGCTTTAATTTGTTTAATACGTATAATATTGTTCGTTGTTGTTAATTCAAGGTACTTTGAGTCTGTTTCTTTCGTTACAAGACTAAGATCTGCTTACAATTATTGTGAGAATATTACGAACGACGGTAGATTCATATACCTACATTTTTTTTTCTATTTCTAATGATGCCAAACAAAATAGTCCTCTATTTGAGAAAACCTTTAATTGTTTTATTTTAAAGTTAAATAAGTCTCAGGCTATATTATCAATGCGTTTGCAATCAATAATAAACATTAATGTCCGCGAATCACTTACTGTTTTTGAAAAAATGGTGCATTTTCTGTTTACCGCAATACGAAATGTTTTGCTTAATTATATCTATAATTACTCAAAACCTACCGCGAAGTTAATTCCATAACACACCTTGCACCTCGATTTTTGTTCCTGGGTTATTATAATTTTCTTAGTGGTTCTAATACAAAAACACTTAATTTCCCTGCAAAAACATCGCTTTTGTAGTTAGGAAAACGAAAGGTTGAATTTTGCGTACCATTAAGAAAACGTACAATTTGTTGAACACTATACTTATTTCAATATTATATTTTAATCAAAATTCTACAAGTTGATGACAAAATACCTACATCGAAATGTGTAGATTTGCGCAAAACATGTAAATACCACTGTGACGGTGCGACTCCCTGCCGGATC